GTGGCCAGTGTGGTCTGCAGAGGCCAGTGTGGGCTGCAGTAGCCAGTATGGGCTGCAGTGGCCAGGGTGGGCTGCAGTGGCTTGCATCGGTGTGGGCTTCTCTGTGCTAATTTCCCCTAGATCTATGTGGCATAGATGCTGCTCATGACTGTTTTATTACACGAAGGTACCAGCTCTCAGAGGTATACATCTATACAGGGTCAGTGTACAAGGTGGGGGGTCTCAGTATGCTACATAGTAAGATAGCCTCAGGAGTTAATTAACTTCTACACAACACTGTTAGATAGAAATGGTAGGTGCTGGTGAGCAGCTAGGGGTTGGGTTTGAAAAGAATAGGAGATGTCCAGGCTGACCATAGACGTTCTTCAGCAGTGGCACTTTGAGATTGGAAGGGTGTCTAGGACAAATGTTCCCTGATGGTGGACACGGCCTTCAAGAATTGGATATTCTGGGGACAGGTAGAGCCTGAGGCTGCTGAGTGAGGTTAGAATAGCAGTCAGGCAGAGGAAGGCACTGCCCCAACCTATAGTGTACACCTGTGCCCTGACCCCTAGTGGACCTTGAGCAAGAGTTATATAACCATGTCTCAGTCAGTCTTGAGACACTTTAAAGGTCTCTGAAATCCTTTGCCCTCCCGAAATGGTTTTCCCTTGTAGTTCAGTCTGATCTCAAACTTGTAATCTTCGCCTCAGCCTCCCAAAGAATGGGATTACAGGGTTTCTTTTCCTGCTGCCATGATAAGATACAACGAAGTCAAATGCTTGAGGAGGGAAGAGTTTATTCTTATTTGGCTCCCAGTTTGAAGGCTTTTCCATCTCTAAGTCGGGAGGAAGACAGTGGCCAACAGTCGGTGGTTTGTTTGTTTGTTTTTGATCAGTTTGGAAGGAATGGGAGCTAAGGAATTGGTGCTACTGGAGTTTAGGGCTGGTCTTCCCACGTCAATCACCACAGTCCATATAATCCCTCATAGGTGTGTCTGGAGGCTGCTCTCCTAGGTGACTGAACTCTATGTCAGGTTGACAGCAGTGACTGTTGTACACAGTGTGCTGTCACACTGAACTCTGTACATTTTATTTTTGATAAGCTAAAGTACCACTTTTCTTCTCTCTCTCTCTCTTTTGAGGGCAGTGTGTAGTGTACGTGCACTTGTATAGGCGTGCGTGTGTAGGTCAGAGGTCTGCCTGCTGAGTGTCTTCCTTAGTCATTCTCCATCTTACCCTCTGAGACAGGCTCTTTCACTGAATCCAGAGCTTACCCTGTTGACTAGACTGTCTGGCCAGGGAGTCCCTAGGACTTATCTGTCTGTTATAGACACGTTCTACCACGCGCAGCTTTTTATGTGGGTGTTGGGAGTCTGAACTCTGCTCTTCATGCTTGTGCAGCAAGTACTTTTCTCACTGAGCCGTCTCCACAGCCCCCAGAATCCCATTTTAAAACCAGTAACTTTAATTAAAAAAAAACCAAAAACAAAAATGACCACACAAAGGTTTTCATTTTATAGCAGATGTGACAAGAATATACCCGAGGCCGCCTGGTACTTCTCTTATTTTTTTATTTTTTTATTTTTTATTTTTTTTTTTTTTTTATTTTTGAGACAGGGTTTCTCTGTGTAGCCCTGGCTGTCCTGGAACTCACTCTGTAGACCAGGCTGGCCTCAGAAATCTGCCTGCCTCTGCCTCCCAAGTGCTGGGATTAAAGGCGTATGCCACCACCACCGGGCTCGCCTGGTACTTCTCAACCAAGCCCTTCTTAGGCATCAGCTGTAAATAGATCTGAAGTCTGAGGAGTTTGAGTAGGCTTTTGGAGAGGAGAGTCCTTTCCGCACTATACCGATTTCTCCTCTTCCTGTACCTTCCATTCCATCGGAGCTGCCATTCTACATGGGTAAGAGGGAAGGAGCTGTAGCCTTCTGTTTTGTACTGAGGCCATCCTAGATCTCCAGCCTGAGTTTTCTTCTTAGGAAATAGCTCTCCTCTGCCTGGCCAGTCCTTGGTTATCATCCTATTTACCCATTCAGCGTCTCTTGCTTGAGCGTTAGTGTCTGTCCCTGGGGCAGTGGTCCCGCTAGAAAAAACTTACCATGGAAAAGTGGTGGAGGATAGACCGTGTGCTGAGAAAAAGGCACTGGGTGAGGTGAGAGTGAGGCAGATTGATCTAAATGGTCTGCCCCCAAGTCTGATCTCCCTATGGTTATCTCTGTGGTCACTGTAGGTGACTTGCAGTGTGTCTGGAGGCTGGTCTCCTAGGTGATTGAGTTCTATGTCAAGTTGACAACAGTAACCATCAGACACGGTGTGCTGCCACACTGAACTCTAAAAGTCTCTCCCTCTCTCCCCCCCCTCTCGGAGTGTGTGTGTGGTATATGTGTGGTGTAAGTATGTCTCTCTCTCTGTCTCTCTCTCTCTCTCTCTCTCTCTCTCTCTCTCTCTCTCTTTCTTGGAGTGTGTGTGTGGTGTAAGTATGTGACTTGCAGTGGCCACTGTGATACCCAGGGTCTTCTTAAGGGCAGAGTTTGGCTGGGGAAGGAACTGGGACCTAGGATCTGAGGCGCACAGGTGGAATGCAAGGTCTCAGGCAGTGACAGACCTAGGAGTGGGTAGGGCTCATTGGCTCCTGTTAGTGCTATGATGCTGGCATGGGCGGGTGTGACGGCCTTGGAGCTGAGGTGGCATCTCTTTGGTTGTGCAGAGAAGTTGGATGAGATCCTGGCAGTTGCTGCGGAGCCGACTCTGAGGCCAGACATTGCCGACGCCGACTCGCGGGCGGCCACTGTCAAGCAGCGGCCCACCAGCCGGAGGATTACCCCTGCCGAGATCAGCGTAAGCCAGCCTTGGGCCAGGGCTCTGGGATGGTCAGGTCCGGGCCTGGGGATCAGAGGGTCATGCACCTCTCTTCTGAGGTAAGAGTTCTTTATCTAGATCCCTCCTCCAGAGGAGGCAGAGCTCTCCATGGCCTCTCTGGGAGACGTTTGGGACCATTTCAGCCCATAGGGTGGCTGGCCATAGTTCAGCTTGCTTCTATGGTTGCAGCTTGTAGTGCTTCTGACCTTAGTCAGATTCTGTGTTACTCTGGGATTAGGAGGGTCCACAACTTTGCTGAGCCTATGGTACATCATGTACAGAAGGCATCTGTAGCCCACCTGGAACCCCTGGATTCTTTTTCCCTCTCTGTTCAGACTATGCCCAGGGTCTGAACTTTTTATTGTGTGTTCATTTCACTATCTGTATACTGCAGCCCAACTGAACATGGGCACCAGTGCCTTTGGGGTATCGGGTGACTGGTCTAGCTTAGGATGGGTGGGGCTGGTTGGAGGACTGGGTGCTCCAGTGCCCTGGAGCTTCCATGTTCCTCCCTGACCCCACAGTCATTGTTTGAGCGCCAGGGCCTCCCAGGCCCAGAGAAGCTGCCGGGCTCTTTGCGGAAGGGGATTCCACGGACCAAATCTGTAGGTATGGCTGGGCTGAGGGACTGCTTGGGGTTAGGGATGGCTGGGCTGGGCTGGGTGGATTCAGGGTTGGAGGACCCCATCTCTCTCTGCAAAAGTTCAAGGATGCCGCTTTGTTTATGTGTCTGAGTTTGTTCATCCACCCAGAGATGTGCCGTGGGAAGACACCTTTGAAGTTCTTTTCCCATCTGCTGCTCCGTATCCCCGGCCACACCTTTAGTCCTTCTCTTCCTGTCTGTCATTTCTGCCTCACACAGACGACAGCTGCCACCAGCACAGCCATCTCCTGTCCTGTCAGCCAGAGCGCAGGTCCAGTTTCTCAACCTAAAATTACTCTTTTCCTTGAACCTTCTCCGTCTCTCCGGGTAGCATCCTCTCCCGGTCCCTTCGTGGTTGGACCCAAAAGGTCACCCGTAACTACTCTCTCGTCTTCCTATGCTTGTGAATTTGAAGCAGCTGGGTCTCTCCAGAGCCAGATTGAAGCTGTTCCCACTAGGGTCAACAGTAGCCTTGGGGCATCCCCCCTGGCAGGCATGGTCAGCTTTCCTTCCACTGACCTCAGTTGGCATTCATTTCCCTGTTTCCTCCTCTGTGAAATTCCTAGGATTGTGGGAGTGAGTTTCTTGCTCTCCCCTCCTTTCTTGGCTGCATTTGTTCAGCATATCCAAATAGTAGGCCAACTCAAGGCTGTGTCCTCGGGCTGCCTTCCTTCTGTCCGTCCTACTGTGAAGCTTTATCAGACCCTGGCTACCATCACACTCCACACCTGGCCGCGTCTTCTCCTAATCCCAGGCCAGGATCCCTAACAAGCCCGGCCATCTGCATGTTTCTCAGGTACCTAGTCTCCTTGACCCACTCATCTGTCCACCTGTTCTTATACACCCTACCACATTCACTGTCTGTTCCACATCAGAGTAAATGCCTGCTCAGCCCAGTACAGGCTAGACATGAGCTGCTTATATGGACATTGGCTTGTTTGATACCTACAGTAACCATATGGGGGTGGGAATCATTGATTTTACTTAAGGAGAGTTAAAAATGGCTTGCCCTAAAATAGGCTTGCCTATACCTCCTTAAGAATGGATACATTCTTAAGCCAAACAGCCATCTGAGTGTGCCTGTTACCCATCCTGGGACTCCTGCTTACTGTAAGCTGGCTCTAGGCTGGATCTGGGTCTCAGTTGGAAGGTGACATGTCAGCAGTTAGGTGAGTCCAGCAGTTATAATGTGGGCACCAAGGAACACATATAAGTGGAGACTGACTGGGGAGGTCCAGACACACAGGAACATCAGCATTTATTAGAATAGCAGGACAAGAAGACGTTTCCTGGGGATTCTGGGGCAAATGTGTGACAGAGGCCAGTGTGTAAAAAACACGGGTGTATATAGGGCAGAGCCCTTCATGGGCTGGCAGGGATACTTCCGTAAGCGGATGGGTGGAGAAGGGCAGCTGGTGAAGACTGCAGTTCCTCTGGAACCAAGAGATACTACTTTATGTTCTTCCAAGAGTTCTGGGCATCCTCCATGGCTTCTTTATTTCTTGCCCTACAAGCCTTACAGCAGACTTGTCTTGTACCTGGTCCACAACTTTGTCTTCCCCGTGTCCTCTTGCCACGGATCTGTTCTCTAGCCCATTTCTCTGGCAAAGGAAGCTTTCTGCAGTATTTTTATAACCTGATATCCCTCCAGCCGGTCCTGTGTGGGCTCCTTTTGTCTCGGGTCCCCAGAGCAATAGCCCTGTCCTGCTTCATCTGGGGGATCTGCTTCTGCCTTTCTGTTGGCATGAGTCCTTCCATATTCCTTGTTGCCTGTCTGCCTTCTTTCTTCCTGGATGGTCTTTCCCAGAGCTGACTTCTGTAGATCCAGATCTATGGACTTGTTGTATAAGCCTCGAGCTCCTTGGCAAGCCTACCAGTTCCTCCCACCTGAATACAGCTGAGCAGTGGGCTAGAAGGTGCTTAACTTTGGTTCCCCATGGATGGCACATGGCAGTGTGCCAGCAAGAGCATTGGCCGAGTTGTCAGATTCTTTGGACTCTCACCTCAGGTCCTGGCTATATGTCCTCGGCATGTAATACAACTGTTGCGAATCCCAGGATTATAGTCTGCAGACATGGATATAGTCAGTAAAGACAGCTCAGGCTTCTCCTTAAACATTGTTGCAGTAGTTGCAACAGCCCCTCCTTCCAGGCTGTGTCTGGATCACATAGTCAGGACCCAGGAAACAATCCTGTTGTGGACTGGCAGATAGAGAGGACCTTTCTTTAGTCTGGTGTCAGCACCGGCTCCTATTCCGTGTGAGGCAGGTGATTTTTTTTTTTTAAATTTTTAGGCACAACCTACCATGCCATTGGTATTAAATTCCACCCCCTCTTTCAGTGTCACGCATCATTCCTGTCTTCTGTAACCTTGAGGTCTCTGAGAGTTCTTCCTACATAGCTTCACCTAGCACGCAGACTTGTGAATGTTCAGTACATGTTCCCGTGCTGTGTAGGAATGACATCAGGAGGGGGCCCAAGGGCAGCTAGGCAGGCCTTAAAACACTGGTAATGACCTCAGCCATCCTTTGTGGTGTTGCTACCTGCAGCCTTGAGCTGTAAACTGTAAATAGTCCTGTGACATGGCCAAGTAAGGCCCTGTAATGGAACGGACTCCTAAAGGCAACTTGTATGAAGCTGGAATTCAAGCGCACGTTTGCAATGCACCTAGCCTTGCTAGTCCTGAGGCAACAGAGCCAGAGACATGGAGAGTCGACATGGAGAGTCACCACCACGCCTGTCTTCTATTCATTAGGTCGGGCCTCTCGGCGTTTTCAGGCCTCACTGTGTAGGACTCTGCACCGGTGTCTACATTCTGTCTGAAATGACACGGGAGGTTCTGTAAGGATCTAGTGACGTCTCTAGACAAGGATGAGGTTCATCTTCAGGGATGTGTACCTTTAAGAGAACAGGCTTATACCCTGGCCTGGGGTAACATTAGATGGTAGGGGTTAAACTGGAACATGCCTTGGGTGCTTGACCTACCTTCATTTCCAGTTTAGTTACCCATCCATTCTCTCTCCCATCTTCCTGCCCAGGCTCTCTAACAGCCTCTGGCTAGGGTACCAACTTACTAGTTTCCTGCAGGCCCATCCATGTGAGTCTCTCCGAGGAACCAATGAGACTTCTTTCCCAGAATCCTACCTTGGCTGGCTAGCAGTGTCCAACCTCCTGCGTCCCCTCACTGATGTTTTACTTTTGGTGTATGAAGGGGGTGTCCCCCTTTCTGATCACCTTTCTTCCCATCTCTAGCTGCCATCAGGGTTTCGGTTGACTCCTGCTTGTTCAACACTGTGAATGTTTCTGAGATACTTTGCTTATCCTTGATGGGAAATCCCCTAAGCAACCCCTAGGTCCTCTCTAACAGTTTTAGGAGGCTTGCCTGTACCCTTCTGGTGTCTTCTCATGGCTTGTTCCATGCTTACAGGGGTGGGGAGATCTTGGCTTCAGTTCAGGCAGTCAGAGTTTGGGTCCTGTTCCAGATCCTCTGTAGGGGCAGCCCTCTACACTGTGGGTGGGGTCCCTCCTGAACCCTCTGTCAGAGCTCTCCCTATCTGCAACAGGACTTGGCATGGAGTGTGGGTGTCCTGCTCAGAGCTCTTGCTGTCTCCTTTCGCCTTTCATGGACCCTGATCCTATCTTCCTTGGTGGGGCTGTGGCCATTCTGGGGTGGATGATAGGACTAGCCAGTGGCCCTGGGTCCAGAAAAGCCTTTCAATGGCCAGCATCCTTGCCAGACTTACCTAGCCCCTCCATCCCCAGGGGAGGATGAGAAGCTGGCATCCCTACTGGAAGGGCGATTCCCACGCAGCACATCAATGCAGGACACAGTGCGTGAAGGTCGAGGCATTCCACCCCCACCGCAGACCGCCCCGCCACCCCCACCCGCGCCCTACTACTTCGACTCCGGGCCACCCCCCACCTTCTCACCGCCGCCACCACCGGGCCGGGCCTATGACACTGTGCGCTCCAGCTTCAAACCAGGCCTGGAGGCTCGTCTGGGTGCGGGGGCTGCTGGCCTGTATGATTCTGGCACGGCTCTGGGCCCGCTGCCCTACCCTGAGCGTCAGAAGCGTGCACGCTCCATGATCATATTGCAGGACTCCGCGCCAGAAGTGGGTGATGTTCCCCGGCCTGCGCCTGCAGCCACACCGCCTGAGCGCCCCAAGCGCCGGCCTCGGCCGTCAGGCCCTGATAGTCCCTATGCCAACCTGGGCGCCTTCAGTGCCAGCCTCTTTGCTCCGTCGAAACCACAGCGCCGCAAGAGCCCACTGGTGAAGCAGCTTCAGGTGGAGGATGCTCAGGAGCGCGCGGCCCTGGCCGTGGGTAGCCCGGGACCAGTGGGTGGAAGCTTTGCACGAGAACCCTCGCCAACGCACCGCGGGCCCCGACCGGGCGGCCTTGACTACAGCTCTGGAGAAGGCCTGGGGCTTACCTTTGGCGGCCCTAGCCCTGGCCCAGTCAAGGAGCGGCGCCTGGAGGAGCGACGCCGTTCCACTGTGTTCCTGTCTGTGGGTGCCATCGAGGGCAGCCCTCCCAGCGCGGATCTGCCATCCCTACAACCCTCCCGCTCCATTGATGAGCGCCTCCTGGGGACAGGCGCCACCACTGGCCGCGATTTGCTGCTTCCCTCCCCTGTCTCTGCTCTGAAGCCATTGGTCGGTGGTCCCAGCCTTGGGCCCTCAGGCTCCACCTTCATCCACCCTCTCACTGGCAAACCCTTGGATCCTAGCTCACCCCTAGCTCTTGCTCTGGCTGCCCGAGAGAGGGCTCTGGCCTCGCAAGCACCTTCCCGGTCCCCCACACCTGTGCACAGCCCTGACGCTGACCGCCCTGGACCCCTCTTTGTGGATGTGCAAACCCGAGACTCCGAGAGAGGACCGTTGGCCTCCCCAGCCTTCTCCCCTCGGAGTCCAGCCTGGATTCCAGTGCCTGCTCGCAGAGAGACAGAGAAACCCCCCCGGGAAGAGCGGAAGTCACCAGAGGACAAGAAATCCATGATCCTCAGTGTCTTGGACACGTCCTTGCAACGGCCAGCTGGCCTCATTGTTGTGCATGCCACCAGCAATGGACAGGAGCCCAGCAGGCTGGGGGCTGAAGAGGAGCGCCCCGGTACTCCGGAGCTGGCCCCAGCCCCCATGCAGGCAGCAGCTGTGGCAGAGCCCATGCCAAGCCCACGAGCTCAGCCCCCTGGCAGCATCCCAGCAGATCCCGGGCCAGGCCAAGGCAGCTCAGAGGAAGAGCCAGAGCTGGTATTTGCTGTGAACCTGCCACCTGCTCAGCTGTCCTCCAGTGATGAGGAGACCAGAGAGGAGCTGGCCCGCATTGGGCTAGTGCCACCCCCTGAAGAGTTTGCCAATGGGATCCTGCTGGCCACCCCGCCCCCAGGACCGGGCCCCTTGCCCACCACGGTACCCAGCCCGGCCTCAGGGAAGCCCAGCAGCGAGCTGCCCCCTGCCCCTGAGTCTGCAGCTGACTCTGGAGTAGAGGAGGCTGACACTCGAAGCTCCAGTGACCCCCATCTGGAGACCACAAGCACCATTTCCACAGTGTCCAGCATGTCCACCCTGAGCTCGGAGAGTGGGGAACTCACTGACACCCACACCTCCTTTGCCGATGGACACACTTTTCTACTCGAGAAGCCACCAGTGCCTCCCAAGCCCAAGCTCAAGTCCCCGCTGGGGAAGGGGCCGGTGACCTTCAGGGACCCGCTGCTGAAGCAATCCTCGGACAGTGAGCTCATGGCCCAGCAGCACCATGCCGCCTCTACAGGGTTGGCTTCTGCTGCTGGGCCTGCCCGCCCTCGCTACCTCTTCCAGAGAAGGTCCAAGCTGTGGGGGGACCCCGTGGAGAGTCGGGGGCTCCCTGGGCCTGAAGATGACAAACCAACTGTGATTAGTGAGCTCAGCTCCCGTCTGCAGCAGCTGAATAAAGACACACGCTCCTTGGGGGAGGAACCAGTTGGTGGCCTGGGCAGCCTGCTGGACCCTGCTAAGAAGTCGCCCATTGCAGCAGCTCGGTGAGCAGGGTGATGTGGGGAGGGGCCTGTCCCCCTGTCTTCTGTTCCTTCTGTTCATCTATAGGCTTTCCACTGTTCTTCCTCATCCTGTCCCATCTCTCTCTCATCTGTCCATGGCACGGGTTCTCCCTGTCCACCTTTTTCTCTCTGTCTGGTTTTGCTTTGCAGTCTGAGATAGAAGGCTCTTTAGCACAGCTGCTCTGTGGACTCCTTTTGGTGCAGGCAGTGGGACTGGACCCAGCTATGTCATGAGACCTCCCAGGACCTGCTGGAGGCCCTGCTGCAGGCTTGCAACTTTGTATTCCAGCTTCTCAAGCTGCATTTGCCTTAGCTGAGGATCTTCTCATGTTGCACTCTGGAGCCGCTGTTCATCTCAGCAGCTGATTGACTCTGAACCTACTGCCCCTGGCTCCGTTTTGGTTCTCTTTCTGATAGTATGGCTGCCCCATATGGCTGGTGTCGCCTCTCCTGGAGCAGCCTCCTCCCTTGATTCTTTTTCAGGCCAGAGTACATTGGTTCCTTTTCTTTAGGGACTTGATACAAATTTCTTATGTTCTGGCCTAGAAACGTTTTGTGTTGTGGCACCTCTTAGGGCCTTCAACACAGAATCCTGGATTTGATTTATAAAGCTCCAGCAAGAAGAGTTGGAAGTCACACCTTCTCTCTCACCTACTTTTTCTTTCCTGTCTTGTTTGCCCCATCCCCCCTTGGCGATGGAGAAGGGGGAGGCAATGAAGGAGATCTGGGTGCTACTAAGGTTGTTAGACTTTGTAGGCAGAAGCTGCCAGAGCCTTGGGTTGATCCCTCAGGCCCTTTCTTGGCAACCTTCCCCAGGGCTCCCTGAACCGCATGGGTACAGGTGACAGCTGACCAGTTTGTGACTAGCCTCTTGTCTGTGTTTCTCTAGCTGCTTCTGCCTCTGCCCCAGGGTTCTCCTATTCTGGGTTTGGATTGGGTGACACTTCTGATTCCCCACTCCTTGGTTCCTAGATCCTCTTCACTGTCAGTTGTGGAGGACAGAGTTCACAGAGTAGTGAGCAGTGCACAGCTTAAGTAAGGACTTGAGGTCTTACTCAGATGGCCTCCCGTTTTACAGTCCAGTTTAGGGTCCAATAGCTTGAGAAGCTCCCAATTTCTCTTTGAGAGGTTCAGGGACAGGGACATTTCTGTCCTTCTTGTGACCTGTTCTCGGATGTTCTCCCTTTTTTTGGCCTCTTCCATCTCTTAAGTCTGAAAGCCCTTTTCAGTACTGCAATGATGAAGACACCCTTAGAGAGGACAGAGTGGCTATGGACCAGTCAGGACATGTGGCTAGGGTCCCAGGTTTATCTACAGAACTGGGTCTTCAAAGATAGAGGCATCTTAATATGACTGTACTTGGACCATTTTCTTCCTTCTTTGTCTTTTCCCCCCCACCAGCCCCTCTGTTTCTACTTCTTTTCTTGATGAAAGTTAAAAATCACTTAAGATACACAGTGTATCGCCTAGCCTGCATAAACACTAAGCCAATGAATGGAGGAGGCGTGATGCAAGTGTCGTGTCCTAAGGCACATGTCATGGGAGCACAGATGGGCAAAGATCTCTTGGGCATTTTGTAGCACCTTTTGGTAACACTCCGTTTGTGCTCAGTGATTTCACATTACAGAGGGAGACATTTACTGTCTAGTACAGTTCTTAGGTATATAAGTGATACATTGTATCGTGTTCATCAGTCATTGTCACTGATGTACCTTGCACCCTGTTCTTCCATTTGCCTCTGTATGCCATTTGGTTCCCACTCACTTTTCTTCCCCATTTTGGTTTTTCTTTTTGGTTTTGGTTTTGGAGACAGGGTCTTGCTATGCAGTCTGAGCTGGCTTTGATCCTCCTACCTGTCTCCATGGAGTGAGCTGTCACATCCTTGCACCTGGATGAAACAACGGCCATCTGGAGTGTGTCCTGCCACCTACCACAGTGCTTTCCTTTCTGGCTGCAGGCATGGGGCACTTGTGGTTTTGTATACCTCTAGCTTATTTCAGACCTGGTCTTTTGTCTGGTCTTTGTGGACACCCTTACTTTGATGTCTTATTGGGGCTGTGCCTCAGCTCTGGCTTTGTAGCCAGTGAGGGCTGGAATCTAGCATTTGGGTCTTACTTTGGGATAAAAATCACTAGTGAGCTTTTCCCTTAGAGAAGTGTCCAAAGTATGAGAAGTTCTGATCTCTAGGTGTGACTGTGTCCTTCTCAGGACCTGTCCTGGCAGAAGACACACCCTTGAGCCACATCATTGGTCTGTGCATGGTGCCTGAGCCTTAGTACCAGGTTCATCTCTCTCTTCTCTTGATGGAGTCCACCAAGGAGCTGACCCTCTTTCTTCAGCTTCTCTGCAGATGTCTCAGGCCAGGCAATGATACATTCTTGCCACGGGTGATCAGCAGCCTGAGCTTTTTGTAGACAACTTTCCCCATGTTTCATGAGAGAAAGCAAAGTAACTTGTAGATGGACTTCTTGACACTGGGCCTGTTGTTGGGTTTTGTGTTGAAGTTGGAAGGTACATGGTTCTTGGTGCTGCTGCTGAGGTCTATGATTCCACCTGTTCCTCACTTCAGCCTGCAGGTCTCGCCCCTGCTGCACAGATCCTCTGTCTACTGAGAGCCCTGGGCTGCATCTTATTTGCACATCATTTAAAGCCCAACCTTTGGCTCCACGCCCGATTGTGGAGCTGCCTGTCAATCATGTGACCTGAGCCTGTCTCTAGTGCCACTTGTCTTCTGGGTCTCATGTTTGGACTTGAATCTTACATGTGGTTTGAAACCTACTACGGAGCTGTTTTGCTTTGACTTTCAGGGTCTTTCTGGGAGGGGCCCTGGGGGTCGAATTCAAGGCCATGAGCATGCTAAGCAAATGGTCAACCACTGTGTTACAGCTGCTTTGTTTTGATATATGAGACCTTTCTTTTCTTACATTTAGTGTGTGTTTGTCTGTGCATGTGCACACATGTGCGCATTATACACACTTTGTGGTGTACATGTGGAAGTCAGAGAACAGCTTCTGGTAGTCAGACTCTTTTTGCATTTTGTGGGTCCCGGGGATTGAACTCAGGTCATCAGACTTGACTGCAAGTGCCTTCACCAACTGAGCCATCTCACCAACCTAAGATAAGAGTTATTCCATAGAGCTTATGCTGGCATTGACCTCACTGTGTAGCTCAACTCAGCTTTCAGCTTAAAATAAACCCTTTGCCTCCCAAGTGCTGTGATCACAGGTGTGTGCTGGCATGCCAGTGGACTCAATTTTTATACCTGGCTGATTGTTACATTTTTTTTTTAAAAAAGGGTGAAATGGCTTTGGAAATATTTGCTGCAGTACTTTACAGAGCCTTTTAAAATTTTATTTTTTATTTTTTTTATCACATGCTTGTGTGGGGGTGGTCAAAGTGTGCCCTGTTCTTTAGACCTATTGAGGTCACTGCTGAGATTTCACAGGAGACCTACTTTCCAATCAGATTGCTCCACAGAGCCCTGTCCTGTTTGCTATAGGTCCCTCCTGCATGTTAAGGGTGTGGGCAAAGCCTATGTTCTGGGGCAGTTGTCATACATGAAGGTTCTTGAGTACAGTTGGAGACTGGGGACAGGATGCATGGTGTCTCTGCAGAGCACTTGCATGAAGTCATATGCAGATGCATTTGCTAAAGCCCCAAGCTCTGCTAGAGAACAGAAAGAGATCATAGGAGACATAGGGACACACTTGGCATGTCAGTGTTGGACAGGTCAGGCAATGAGGAGTGAGGCCAGGGCAGCAGAAGGGACACATGCAGAAGCTTCCGAGCCCTGCCTCTTCCTACTAAGAACTGTCCTGGAATGAGGCTTCTGAGTTGCCAAGGGCCACAGGCCTAGGTCTGACCCACGTGAGTGCAAAGGTGGTCATCCTGACGTAGAAGCCAGGTCTGAGTACAAAGGAACCTTTTCTTGACTGTTGGTACCAGTGAGCTGACGGAGGTAAGGCAATCCTAGGAGGGCTTTTGTAGGGTGACATCGTTTTTGTCAGTGTGAATTATATTGAGTTTGTGACAGGCTCTGAGGGTTAAGGGAAGCCACAGAGAAGGAAGTGAAGGGCCCGGATATAGCTCAATGGTTAGAGGGCTTGCCTAGTATGCATGAGGCCTGGGCTTTGCCCCTAGCAGAGAAAAGGGGGGAGGGTTGGACATCCTGTATGTTAAATGCTGTTAGGAGATCCCAAGAAACCATGAGCTCAGGAGGCACCGATGGGCCCTCACGCACGGCGTTCCTGGCCTTGTTAGTCATAGCAAGCAGTGGGTAGATGACATGGGTGGAGAAAGAGCAGATTACGAGAGAGAGTGGGCTGGAGAAGCTATCCAAGGAGGAGGATGCTGGGGGAAGGGGCTCCTCCAAAGAAGCAGGTCATCCCAGGGGACCCCTGCGTGCAGCCTTGGTGACTGCCAGGAGCAAAGGCCACATCTCAGTGGCTTCGAGTTCCTGGGGCAGAGGATGTGCTAGCCGAAAGCACTTTGGAGGGTAGTGGATGCTGGGAGGTGACGTGGAGGTGGACGAAGCCTGAGCAGAATGTGATTAGCCGGTCAGCTAATGGTATCAACAGCCAGAGATGGGTATGCAGAGATGAGTTAACATGTTAAATGTGTAACATGCGTAAACATGTTAAAATCAGATTTGCACACTGCTAGGGTTTCTGTCCTGGGGACAGTGTGGGTAGTGCTCTTCCCCAAGATGGGGGCAGGGAACAGACACTGATACCTTGGCCACTTCTTCCTGTATATACCCTTCCTTGGGCTTTTCCCCTGGGCCTCTCAACATCAGCAACACTGGTGGAGCTTTTGAGGTATATGACTGGCTCTCTATTCCCAGTCTCTGAGGCGAGGCTGCCCTCAGCCCAGGCCTCCAGGTCACCCCTGCCAGGAAGGCGGGCTTGGTGCCATTTCAGACAGGTATAGCTACTTGTCCTAGCTTAGACCTTTTGGACTCAGGACTGCCCTGCTGCACTGCCTGATGGGTGTTTCGTACCCTGAAGTTCAGCAGTATTACTGCTGAAACCTAACCTTTGGGGTAGGTCTTGCCTAGATGTCTGTTTAGTGATACAGATGCCCATGCTAGGGTCAGCATGAATTCAGAGAGGAAAGCAGCGAAGGTGACATGCTTGGCCTTGTTGGGACTCTGTAGGTGGCCACAGTCTGACCTCACAGCTATGTTTCTAGCACCACCTCCCTGAAGACCTCACTGCCTCACCTCTGCTGGCCACTGCACTTGGCCCCAAAGCCAAGATGGCTCCATGAGACCAGGTTCCGTAGGAGTGGAAGTTTCTTCTGGAGGTTTTGCCTGCCTGTTCCCTTGTATAGACCTCGGATGGTTCCGAAGCCTTTGTGTTGGTGGCACTGTTTGGCTTGCTGGAGAAGCTCTGCCCTGGGTCTGAGCAGTTGGGAGGAAGCTGTAGGGACGGCTGAGGAGAAAGCTGATGAAAGTGATCCAAGTGAGGTCTCCGGGGAAGGACTGATCTTGCATGGTGCGGGGGTAAAAGTTGAAAGTTGCTTAAGGGTACGTGTTTGTTAGCTTGTTCTTCTCTGCGACAGATTTCACCTTGAAGGAACAATTTGAGGAGGAAAGGTATACTTTGGTTCATAGTTTCCGAGATTTCGGCCCCCGTGGTGGCTTGGCCCCCATTGCTGTTGAGAGTGTCATAATAGAGAAGCTTCGGTGACTCATTTCCTGCCAGCCAGGAAGCAAAAAGGGAAAAGAGGGGGCAGGAATAAGACCATCAAATCATGGAACCATTGGTGTGCTGTTGTGATTGTTGTTTATTTATTTTTTTTGGGGGGGGAGGGGAGGGACAAAATCTCAACATGTAGCCTTAGCTGGCCTGGAGCTTGCTTTGTAGACTAGGCTGGCCTCAAACTCGCAGAGATATGCCTGCCTCTGCCTCCTGAGTGCTGGGATTAGAGGTGTGTGCCACTGCCACACCCGGCCCCAGTCAGTGTATTAATTCATTGATTTGGGCAGAGCTCTCATGATCCGCCACTGTACCTTCAGAATGCAAACCTTTTAGGGGGGGATATTGCAGAGCCAAGCTATGTAACAAGGAGAGGGGCGTGTTGAGGGGACTCCTGCTGGTGTGGGATTCTGCCAGGCGGGCAGAAACTTAGGCCATCCTGAGAGAGAGAGAGAGGGCGTTGTGGGGGTGGAGAGAAGTTGCTCAAACGTTAGATGATCAGACGGCAAGGCACTGCAAAGCGATGCTATGGTCTGCACCATACAATTGGAGAGAGCCAGCGAGCTACTTACTCCAGGGCAGGCAAACCAGATGCTTTCTATCCGAGCTGTCCCGGATACTTTCTCTTCCCCAGTCCCTCTGCAGTAGATGGGCCTTACCTTCTGAGTTCCGACCTCCATAGAGTGTCCCACAGGGGTCCCCCGAACCTGGCTGCCTATTGTGTGGTTGTGACTGAAGGCACTGTGGGCCTGGCCTGCTAACACTCTCTCTCATTGCTCTCTCCTGCCCATCTGCATGTGGCTGCTCTGTCTAGCTGCGCGGTGGTCCCGAGTGCCGGCTGTGTAAGTGAGCATGCCCATCCCATGCCTCTTGCAGTCTACATGCTGTGCCTGGCTGCCCCTGGCTCTCTGCATGGCTATGTGGGCCTTTTGGTGCTCCTGACAGCTACTGAGGCTGTCCTTGGACATGGTGAAGGGTAGCGATGGGGATGAGGGGCTATGGGGGTAGGCTTCCTTTAGAGCAGCCGCCTCGGGCTGGCCCTCCCTCCAGCCGGGCAGGCTGGGGGCCTGGGCTGGAAGTCCAGGATCCTGCAGGTGAGGCTGGGAAGTGAGGTACCCATCTGCCTTGTGTGTCTGCCTGTGTGCTACTGCCTTCCTGTCAGTACCGCTGCATGTCCGCAGCACATGTAGTCACCATCGCTGCTGTGGGTGTGCTCTCCTGTGCAGGGAGGCTGTACTTCCTGTTACGGTGTGCTGTCGCCTCACACTTCCTGGGGGTGTGAGCCCTGCCTGGTGTTTGTCTTCAGTGTCCATGGACCTGTCACAGTCTTGTACCACTGCCAGCCTTTACCATGACTCGGCCATCCCTGAAACAGGCCTCGGGTGCTCTGGGTCTCTTCAAGCTTGAGAACGGAGCTGTATGTGGGGAGTGGTGACGTCATTGTTCAAATCTTAACAGTCCAGAGCAGCTGTGGATGGAACCCACACCCGGAGAAGGCTGTGTTAGAGGCTGGCAGGGAGGGGCAAGCAGCTTCTGTCCATGACAAAGTTTCCTTTGGTGAACTGCCCTTGGGGCCTCCATGGAGCGCAGCGTGGGGAGGACAGTCTTACTCCTTAGAATCCAGTCAGTTTCAGAATCCTCCAGAGCAAGGCACTGGTCTTGTCCCAGGATGTTTTTGATTTTAAAAAGAATGACCACAGGATATTCCTCCAGCCCTAGTCCTCCTGGCTCTGCTCCCCTCTGTCCACTCCGACTTTACTTTCCACCCCTCACCTGGCCCTCACCCACTCTCCCTCCGCAGGCTCTTCAGCAGCCTCGGTGAGCTGAGCACCATCTCAGCGCAGCGCAGCCCCGGGGGCCCGGGCGGAGGGGCCTCCTACTCGGTGCGGCCCAGCGGCCGGTACCCCGTGGCGAGACGAGCCCCGAGCCCAGTGAAACCCGCATCGCTGGAGCGGGTGGAGGGGCTGGGGGCGGGCGTGGGAGGCGCGGGGCGGCCCTTCGGCCTCACGCCTCCCACCATCCTCAAGTCGTCCAGCCTCTCCATCCCGCACGAACCCAAGGAAGTGCGCTTCGTGGTGCGAAGTGTGAGTGCGCGCAGCCGCTCCCCCTCACCATCTCCGCTACCCTCGCCTTCTCCCGGCTCTGGCCCCAGTGCCGGCCCGCGTCGGCCGTTTCAACAGAAGCCCCTGCAGCTCTGGAGCAAGTTCGATGTGGGCGACTGGCTGGAGAGCATCCACTTAGGCGAGCACCGAGACCGCTTCGAGGACCATGAGATCGAAGGCGCACACCTGCCTGCGCTCACCAAGGAAGACTTCGTGGAGCTGGGCGTCACACGCGTTGGCCACCGCATGAACATCGAGCGTGCGCTCAGGCAGCTGGATGGCAGCTGACGCCCCACTCCCTCTCCTGTTCCTGCTGCGCCCTGCCGGCAGGGCCCCCACCCCTACTCCAGGCCGCAGGCTCGGCTCGCCCCCTACCACGGCGCCCGGGCCAGGAATGTTGCATGAATCGTCCTGTTTGCTGTTGCTTGGAGACTTGCCCTGTACATTGCTTAGTGCCCTCCCCTGCCGCTGAACCCCACCCAGCACACAGTAAGGGCGCGGACCAGGGGGGCTGGGTGGAAGGGGGTTGGGGCAGGGTGCTCTGGCCTGACCACCTCCTCCACAGCTCCTGGTGGCCATTCTTCCAGAGGGGGAACCTAGTCCAGCATGCGAGGTCAGGACACGCCTTGGTGACTCGGGGGGAGGGGGGAGACATTGGGGTTCTTGATAGGGGCCAAGGAGCCCCCTGTTTTACATATTTTAATCCACTCTATATTTGGAACGAGAAAAGGAACAAATATCTCTGTCCGTAACAGTTCCCGCCCTCCTCCCCTCTAGTCCTCTCGCTGGTCCCGCCACAGCTGCCCAGTCTTCCATCTCCGGCCCCTCACTGCCACCCCATACAGGGCAGGGGACACTCCAGCTGGCCTGGGGTTAGCCAGGGTCCTGGCAGCCCACCCTGGGGACCCCGGCTCAGCCCCCTTCCCTCGCTGAGCTATAGTATGCCCCACCCACCCTTTAGGTGCTGCTCAGGGGGACGGGTGGCAGGCATTGCCTGCTGGGCACTAGCAGGGCCAGGTGGCCTGGGAGATTATTGCCCTGGGGCTGGGCCCCGGTAACCCAACCCCAGCCATCATCTTCACAGGGTCTCTCCCAAAGGAGGGGTCTAACCCTTCCCACCTCTTGGGCAACTACAGCAGAGAAGCCTCCCTGCCTCGCACCCCAAAGACTCCCCAATTCCTGCCCTGTGTGTGTGCGCGCCACATATGTGTGTGTGCACGCCTGTGTGCTTGTGAAAACTGGGTGTGGCTGAGTGCATGGGTGCCCTGTATGTGCTTGATTGTGGAGTGGTCCCCAGGGGCTGTTCTGGATGGGTGGGAGGTTGTGGAAGTTTGCACAGGATGCATGCCTGGGTGTGTGCCTGTGAAAGGGCCCTGTCTTCTCCAAAGAAAGGCTGTCCTGCTGTTGGGTCCTGTGGATTTCTCAGCCTGTTTCTCCCTGAGCCTCATCCAGCATAAGCAGGGGTTCTTGGTGAATCCTTTCAGCTTTGGGAGGCCTCAAGGGCTCCCCTGCAGGCAGTACCCCTTTGGGCTTCTAAGGGAATTGTGGGGACCACTAAAACCAGGCCACAACAGCCCTTGGAGAGAGGCAAAGACTCCTGAGGGGACCCTGGCCCCCTTACTGTGACTCCTCACACTCACCTGTGGGGTGGGGGGCCCTGGGGCATTTTTAAACATAGGGTTTGGAGTCTGGACTAAGCTCCATCCACGTCACTCACAAGTTTCTGTTTCTATTTCTAGCTTTTTTTAATAAAAAATATATATATAAAAAAGACAGAAAACAGGTGTTTTCATGGCCCAGGGGCTTGGCACGCCGGTCTGTGCCCACCCGCCCCACCCTGGCCCACCGGCCCCATTCCCTAGACACAGAGTCACACCCACTAACCCTCTTACCAACAGAGCAGGTCACACACACAGCAGCAGTCAGTGTAACAGACTGCCACATACACAGTCTCACATTTACCTGTGGGTTTTTGGTTCTGTTCAATTTGGGTTTTTAACTTTACAGGGTCAGTTCCACTTCATCCCCCTTTTGTATGGAGTTCCATCTGGGGGCTTTCAACCCCCTGCTCCAGTCCTGAGGCCTCCTGACCCTGACGTTGTGATACACCCCACAGAGATCTATGTTTCTTATATTATTATTATTAATAATAATTATTATAATATTATGTAATAAATTTATAAGAAATGAAATCATGTCTCGGTTTGCTTGTTTAAAGTTAGGGACTAGGGACCTGTTCCTCAGACAGGTCCCACAGACCCACAGCCTTGGCTCAGGGTGCTGTGGACTCAGCAGTATCTTTGGAGCAAGCCTTTCTAGACCTTCCTGCGAGACTGACCGACCGACCGACCGACCTCCTCGAGTTTGCTAGACCCTGACTCAGGCTTTCTGACGACTTTTTAACACCTCGTTTTAAAAAACAGTTTTTTTTTATGTCTAACTATGTCTGCATAAGTGTATGACATGTGTGAGGGTGCCCTTGGGAGGTAGCTGGGGTTTCGGCAGTTGTGAGCTCCCCGATGTGTGTGCTGAGAACCAACCTCTGGTCCTCTGCAAGAACAGCTGAGTGCTCTTACTGCCTGAGCCATCTCTCCAGCCCTAGGTAGTGACCTCTAGACTGATGGTTCTCTGAAATCCCTGCCACTATCTTCTTTGCATTCTGGTACTGGGGATGGAACCCAGGCCAGGACTTTACCACTGAATGATACCCCCCCACCCCACCCCACTTTTAAACCTAGGACCTGGAACCTTCCTGTGGTGTCTAGTTGTTTATAAAATCTACTTTAAATTTCAAACCTCATGTCCCTTTCTATGTGCTGGTCCTTGGCTGCTCAGTGCGTTTGGCCTCACCTCCCCTGGGTGGATGCAATGGTTTCTCACTTCCATACCTACCTTCTGCTCCTCCCTCTACCAGACGACAAATGGAGCCCGTGTGGGACCCCCTTATGTCCTTTGAGCCCCTCCCATACTTTCTCCCCCCTGCTGTTCCCAGCTTTGCTGTAACCACCCCCCACCCCCGACCTACTACAGCCCTTCAAGGTTTTCTCTCACTCTCTCCTTCCCTACATCACCTACCCTTTACCACCTTTATTGGCTGTGCTCAATGCCCCTTCTTCCAGGGAGCCCTCCTTGCTCTGATTTTCTCAGAGTCTGGGTTGGATCCTCTGGGCTCCGAGTATTGTCTCAAATCAGAGGAGATTGGTGCTTCTCACACATCACACCAAGTCTACTCCCTTAAGGGTCAGGGTTAGCTTCTCAAAGACTCGAGGTTTGCCTTTTTTTTTTCCTGTTTCTCTGAGCCATGTACTAAACACAGACTTGACCTTCAAGAGCATGTTTGCAGACAAGGCCAGCAGCCAGCTGTCATCAGCCAATCACATAGTGGGGGAACCCACGATTGGTTTTGTCAGGAGGTGCGGGCTAGCCATGAGCACAGTCAGGTGAGCAGGCAGGTGGATTCCTAACCAGCAAGAAGGTGGAGAGAGAGAGAGAGCCAGGGGATCAAGAGATATAGCAAACCTGGAGGGAGGGACTTCAGAGAAGGCAAGTGGGTCAGTGGCTTGGGCATCAGGAATACAGACCACAGATTCTGATGCTCTGGAAGTTATCCTGGAGTCGAGGATGGGGCCAGGGAGGAGCTGGCTAGGAAACTGGAGAGCAGAAGTAATCCTGGATAGCAAGGGAAGCCTTTGGCCTCTTCACCCAGGGAGAGCCGGTGCCCCAGGTGGCTTCAAGGGGCAGGTGAAGTCTGGTAGACTAAAGCGTACTCCCTTGAAAGGCCCGTGCTTCCTGGAAGCTGAATCACAAACTTAAACCTAGCTGGGCTATGCACCTTACAGGTTACTGTAGCCCCAGGGTAGGTACCAGGCTTACACAGCCTGTTCTAGAATTGGAGAGGGCTCATTCTGCAGTGACTTGTTGGCAGTCTTCTGGAATGTAGACACTGGGTCTCCAGACTCAGTCCTTTCGACTAAGGTAACTTGTCTTTGATTTTAGAGTCTATCTTCAGTACATTCGCCATACACTTGAGTCAACAAGGCTATGATGCCACACAATGGTGCACATAGACACTTAAAATGAACATTTAAATAATTTTTCTATCCAGAAGAATTACATATAAAGCAGAAGTCTCATCTCTGGGAGCCCCATTAGGTAGTGTTGGGTTACTTGCCTCCGTATGCCATTTGAAGAGATGGGTAGTGGCAGAAAGTAGAGAGAGCGGAGTTCATCGAGTGCCGTATTGGGAAGGGGGATCATGTTCTGACCTGAGGTTTAAACAGGGCAGGTAGCAAGAAGCATGCACATTAAGCTGTCCAGGTCAAGTGTGAGTCTACTGGATCACTGTCTCAAATGTTTCTGAGTGGCAAAAGAAGTCCTTATTGTGTGAGGGAAGCAGTGTAAAGAGTCTCACAGTACGATGATGAGTCCAGCTTTAGGGAGCAGCCTTTATCACCACAGACAAATGTCCTCCCTTCATGAGTGATCTGTCTGCAGGGCACAGCGCTAAGATATTCATCCAAAGTGGCTGTAGATTTAAAATGATGGTTGTGGACCTTCAGGGACCATATTTTGGGGTCTTTGGCAGGACACTATAAAACTGACAGTAAGAGGTTGGGAAGGTGGGTCAGTGGGAAAAGAATTTTATGCCTTGCAAGCAGGAAAGACTCTGCATTCCAAACTCCAGAACCCATGCAAAGCTGGATGCAGTAGCGTGTGCTTGTGATCCCAGCTCTTCTACAATGAGACATGGGAGGTAGAGACACGTGATTTCCCAGAAGCCTGTTGGCCAGCTAGTTCCCTAGCGTACACAGTCAGCAGCGAACCACAAAAAGACTCTCTTAGACAAGGTAGAGGGCAAGGATTGCTGCCCAGGATTGTCCTCTGATACTGAAACGTGCAATGGGGCATTTGAGGGTCATACACTTAGGAATATTCAGGTACACATGCACACGCACACACACACACACACTAAAGACTCTGAATATTTGTGCCTTCAGCCTTAAAGGCTAATGTGGTAGGTGGATATCAGTGGTTTTTAGACACTCTGATATCCCCCTGGACAGAATTAGGCAGGTGTCTGACCTAAAGTAAACAGACATAGAAAATGAGGGCAGATATGCTAGGCTTCTGTTCTGCTTTAAGTTACTCTGTGGGCCCAAGAGAGGAATCAGTTTCTTTTTGGCAAAAACAGTTTTGTTAAATTTGTAACTTTATGCCCATTAAAATTTTTTTAAAATGCCTGGGTAGTCTTTTATTTGTAAAATAGTATTATTGTTTATTATTATTATTATTATTATTATTATTATTATTACTATACTGATGTGCTACTGCTATACTAATGGTGTTCCTTCTCTTTTATTTCTTTTTTAAGACAGGCTATCTCTGTGTAGCCCAGGTTGTCCTAGAACTCGCTTTGTGACTCGATTTGTAGGGTGGCCTCAAACTCAGCGATCCACCGGCCCTGCCTCTTGAGTACTGCGATTAAAGGTGTGTCACCACACCGGGCAGATATTTATTATCACAATTATTAATGTTGGAG